AAAAAGAGAATTAAGCACAAAGCATTGTTAGAGAGGTGTCTGAAAGGGAGACTTAGGTCCGTCATCTTACTGTGGTCAGTGTTCTTTTGAATACCTTTGGTGTCAAGTGATTACAGAGAGAACTCGAGTTTAGCCGATCGCAATGAAAACTCACATATGAGTATCAATAGCTTCATTTTTGTATGCTTTTTTATGCAGTGAATCGTTGATCTGAAAATTTGCATAAGCAAGCTTTGTTGCTTGAGGGCAAACAACCATCTAAGTTTGGGGGAGTTTGATAAGTGGTTTTCGTATAATTTTTACTAGTCATCTAAGCATTTTACCTTTTTTGTCCAATTTGTTTATGTTTATCGTTTGTTACGCTTTGGTAGTGTGTTTTCACTATTTTCAGGGTTTAATAAGTGTTTGAAGTGAAAAAGGATAAAAAACGAGCAAATCATGAAAAAACGTCAAAAGTCGAAAAATCCTCATACAAAATCCAGAGGGCTGCTACGGCCACTCGTAGCAGCTACTATGGGTCGTAGCAGCAAATGCCTAGGGATTCCTCCACTTTGAAGGTCTAGTAGAAAAAGTAGAGGTTTGCTACCGCCACCCGTAGTAGCTGTTACGGGCCATACCCTGAGGGAGACATGTCTTCTAATTTGTTTCATTTTTAGACTGATGTCACAGGTTTTTTTGAATTTGGGGTGTTTAGATGTGATATTTTATGATGTAATGACAATTGATCATGAGATATTCATCCCAATTTAGGTTTTTCTATAAAACTCACAATTAGTTGTAAGTTTAGGGAGCAAAGTTTTATTTCCTGAAGTTTCTACGTATTTTATTTTCTCTGTACTCAAGTCTCCATTAGAGCATTGGATCAAAGCTTATCAATTCATATTTTCTTATTCATTTTCAATTCAATTGCTTATCTATTTCAACTATTTGTTGATTTGATTATATTTCCTCTCACCATGAGTGAGTAATACATTAGGGACTAAGGGTCATAGAGCTTATCTCTTGACTATTTGTATGATCTGTCACAAGTCGATTATGAGAGTTATTTGTCTGTATTAGTTTTAATACTCGAGTTCATGCATTCCAACCCTTGTACACAAGTAAAGTGTTCTCAGGTACCGATCATAGTCTGAAAGGATATGTATCGATGTCAGAGCACATGTTTTTAAACATACGAGTTCAATACAGCGAAAGTGCTTGAATGAATTTGAGAAAGTTTCAATTTTTATAGCTGAGCAAAAGTAACGAATCCCTGGCGAATAATACGATCGAGCAAAAGTCAACGAATTATTCATCGTCAATAGGATAACATGCTGGAGAAAGTAGGTGTTGTCCATACTTATCTATTTTCTATAAAGTGTATCGAAACTCTCGTAATAGAAGTTACTTGGATCGTGCAGATGTGTCAAAGTGAGAACCATGATCCTAAGTCCTGTTTGTCACCATTGTGATTCAAGTGATTTTCTATTAAGTTGTATTCCTTCAAGTGCTTTTTATTTAAGCTATTTTTACTAAATCTAAAATTATTGATTTCTCTAGATATAGATCGATAAAATGGAATTTGATACTTAAATTATTGGTCATTGTGGTTCTCTTTTACTACTTCGCACAGTCGCACCTTTGCGACGTGTTACATATACATACTAGAGTTTTGTTGTAAACTTCATCTTTGAGGGTTCAAATGGGTATCCATTGGATATGATGATTTCAATATGAATTCTTATCCCATACCACTTTTGCGGAATTCAAAAAACTCTTTCTAAATGCAAGAAACGTCTGTCATCTTGAATCTAAATTTTTTTTATTTTAGAAAAACCCTAAAACTCAAAAGACGTGATTGAAATTAACAAAAAGAAAGTATTATATTCACTCAGTCTTGTGTTTTTGCTTAAGTGGTCTCTCGACGTCTTTCGTTTACATGATCGATACAGGTGATATGGATTTGGTTTCTGTATAGATGAAAGTAACACTCTAGTCAGTAGTGACAAGAGCTTCATCATTGAAATTACAGTCATCCTCACATGAATTAAACTTGAGATCAGGTTAGTGTTATTAAATTTTATAGTGAACCTAATTAAACTTGTAAAAAATACAAAAGAGATTATCGGATCACCAAAACAATCAGAGGAGGGCTGTATTGGTTGATTATTTGAAAATGAATAAATTAATCCTCCCAATCCTAAATATTGGAATATTAATAACTAAAACTATGGACCCAACCAAAATAAAAAGTAGTCATCCCTTAACTTTTAAACGAATAAATAATGTATATAATTAAAAAAAAAAACAATTTATTACCAAAAGTTTTGAAGACTAATTTGTTGTAAATATCAAACCTAAAAGATCTGATGATATATTTGATCTATATTACGCCATAGAAATTTAAGCTTTTTTCATGTGAATGAAATAGCAAATTTTCTCACGAAATTAAACACATACGTCGCGTTACTTAGGTCCATATAATCATTGGTTTTTGTCCATGTCGAAGAATCTAATATACTAATTTTTGATTTGAAACAAGACCAGTGACAGCATAATCTACATGTCAAATAAACAGCAATATTCTATAACTTTCTAGTCCATGTGCTACATGAAAATTCAATCCATCACTTTCAATGTTGAATATTGACTTAGACATTTGAACTGTATAACTAAGATTATATCCTAAAAATAAGGCAAAAGCATTTCAAGTTGCTAACAAATCTGATTCAAAGTATAACAAGTTGCCCCACACCTGTGGGGTGTACCACATAATATGATTACAGCTGCTAAACATAGTGTTTGCCTTCATGTTTCATTTTCATTCACACAATATATGTTTGAATAGTACATATTAATAATTTTTAATAATATTTAATTTATAAATTCTCTTATTAATATGTCCACCCGCCATTTTTTCAACGCAGATATTAATATAAATTTTTATATATTATTTTTTTTTTACGTATTAAATTAAGATTTTATGTTCATACATTATTAAGACTTAAATCAGGAGGACATATTCATTTATCATTTCGTTTTATATGTATTTGTTTTTGATATTTTTGTTGTTGAAGTATAAATGAGATGTAGTAGTAGGGTATAGTAAAGTATGAAGTATGAACCCTTGGTCACATGTTGCACCAAACTTTGAAGAAGATATTATAGGTAAAATAACAAAATATCATTAATGATTAGCCGTACTTGTATCAATATATATCTCATAGAATATCCTTTTTGTTTTCTAGTTCTTATAAATATCTACATTTTATTTATTATTTGTTATAAGAAAAGTAGTCTCTTCACCAAGTACAAATTAGTTGAAGGTATGTTTTCTAATTAAGGAAACATTAAAAGAAAATTATCTTAAAAGAAAAAAAAATTGTCATATAACAGCTACTTTGAAGACCTTCAAAATAGTTTAGCTATCCCCTTGAGTACAATTAGTATTCTAAATATAGAGAAAGATTAATTATAGCGTATTTTTTCTTTCCATTTATCAAGGTAGTCGACAAGACATACCTTTACACAAATGATAGGTCATAATTCCTATATAACTTGACCATTTACTAGTCATTTCTTAAACTTTAATATGTAATGGCATACATCACCTAACTTCTCTTATTTATAAAATACTAAATCTCTATTTTTTAATTAATGTTAACTTTTTGACATTTATTTTTTCAACACTTCTATTTTTTTTCTTTAACATTCCTCCTTAAATATTATATTTAGTCTATCAATAATATTTTCATTTAAGAAAAAACTTTTTTATTCATATATATTTGTATCAATGTTGACATATTTTCGACGATACATATCTCCTATTCACACCACTACATGAAAAAGACTTAAAAATTGATATCTCACTCGAACAAACAACTTCTAATATTATTATTGAATTATCAATTTTAAAATCAACATGAATTATTAATTTATATTTATAAGTAATCAACATGAATTATTAATCTTTATTTATAAGTCATATATTTTGTGAGTGACACATATTCATTCAAAAATTTAATGTAATATATACGTAAATTTTCTTATTTACATTTTTCTAATCAATATAAAACTTTCTCAATTGTTTTTCTAACACTACTAAATCACTTCTTTTTCTCAAGAAAATTTTCTAAACTTACTAGTTACAAGTTCTTTTTATAATTCTTTATATATATATATATATATATATATATATATATATATATATATATATATATATATATATATATATATATATATATATATATATATATATATATATATATATATATATATATATATATATATATATATATATATATATATAAAATATGATATGTTAACTTAATATTTAATAATACTTATTTCCTTAATACTATTTATTATTTTATTTGTTTCAATCATAATCAATTATTCTAATTTTATAATATTAATTTTTAATATATTATATATTATATCAAATCTATTATTCATTAAATTTTTAAAATATTAATAAATCATTCAAAATCAAACTGAACCACAAATAAACCGATTCAACCAGTTACTTATAAATACATGTTTGAGACTATATATTATCTAATATCATAACAGAAACCTAATAATAAGTATTCAGAGAATTGGAGCAGACGATGGTTAAAACTTGATAGCAAATATCCTAATAGATCTAAAACAATAATCTTGATGCTATATTAAAGAAATGGGATTCAAGTCTAACCAAACATGTAGAGATAAGATTTTTAACAATTAGAGTTGACACAGAAAGAAATCAAGATAAACCACGTTTCATCGTGTTAGTACTCCAGTAATACAAGTTCATGATAACCAAACTTTTTACATAGTGAAGGAGCAGGACTCTCAATAAAACCAAATAGATTAATCTACATTGGATTCTAGAAATGAAACGATGTGGCCCTCATCATTCCAATTCAGTGGGAGTTAGAAATTTACTCCAAACAAGAAATTGACATTCATGAACACAAATTTTGAGCTAATTAACTCAAATTTCTCTCTAAAAAGAGAGCACTTAGCATCATAACAAATTAATGATGATTGCGCGATCTTGAAAAATTACTACTATTCTGAGACTGTTGCATGCTTATGTCAGGAACAAATAGAGCATTATCCGATGAATACCGAGGGTTTTTCGGCCAGTATAGCCCGGAAGCTGTAGGAGGTGAAGGGACCTGAGGAACTGTCCAACATGAATCTGGAACCCGGTCCATGTAGTCGTCGTACTCCATTTCCTCGTCATTGGATCTTAAAACAGGAGAATCAGAATCCTCAAAGTTACCACTGTCGGCCTGCAGAAAGTCATTCGAAAAGGGATATCGGATAAGCATACAGCCATAGCTTATACAACATGTAAGCACTTAACTTATAAGTTAAGTTGGTTATCCAAACAGAACCCTATTTCACAATGATGCTGAAAAGGGCTTAACAATAAGGGAAAGAAAGAAACAGTGCACAAGCACTTTAATCAACCAATCATATACCATAAGTACTTAACAACTTTACATTCTCGTCATATACAATTGCAGAAACTATGAACATACCCTTGATGATCCATCCATGTAGTTATAGTTCTGACTGAAATCATTTACGCCGAAAAATTCATCTATTGACCAATGTGACATGTTTCCTGCCGTAGAGCCACCACCATAAGAAACCCTCTCAGTTGGAAACTCCATAACTCTTCCAGCTTCAGTAGGAAACATTTCATTGTATTCCGATGACTGAGGCATTTTGGGAACCTTTTTCGAGACAGAAGAAGATTTTGTATCAGAAGCTTTCTCGCCAGAATCTGACTTCAATGAATTTGAGGACGCGCCGGGGTCAGTAGCTTCTAGGCCTACTTTTACACCAGTGAGAAGAAACCTTTGATGTCCGGAGACAAATGCATTTGCAGTGTGTATTGCTAGATCACATTTTCGACAGAGTAGAGCGCGATCTTCGAGACAAAAGAAATAGCCGAATGCTTCCTGCAAGGTATAAAATGACACAATTCAAGTTCATTCAAACCGAAACAGAACAAATAACAAATTAACAAGGTTCTTACTCAACAAAAATTGCTGACAATGGCTTCAGTTGTAAAAACAAACACTACTATAAACAAATTTACAAAGTTTTTAACTCCATACAACCACAAGAGACTTCAGATTGAACCCTCGTCCGACACTGACACAATGACACATGTAGTTACATTACATTCAAATACTTCTATTTTCTCAAAATGTGTCGGGGTGATGTTAGTGTCAGTGTCGGTGTTGTCGGGTTCATAGCCAGAAACATGGCCTATGTTTTGTAACACGCCGGGCCACTGTCGCACGTTTAAGACCCTTTTCGCCTTTCGCCGTGATTTTGATTAGTTATCCCATCATGGGTTATGAATAAGTAAGATATCACGGGTTGGAATTCATATTTCTTCGGTCTGATGTCACCAACTGAACTGATTTAACCGAACATAACTGATTGCAAATAATCAACTCTTGTTGGAGTCCCAAATCAGCAACAAATGTTATAATAAAAGAAAACAAATATATAAATTATCATAAAATTGATGATATACAATTTTCCTTTTTTCAAAAATTGAGCACTCCTAAAAGAATTCATAAAACACGAATAGCATTGAAACAAATCAATAAAAAAAATGACCTGACAAATATCACATTTAGGCATATGAGAAGAAGAAGTCGAAAGAGGAATCCTCTGATGCTTGGTAGCAAGCTTATTAGCAGCATGAACTTTCTCATCACAATCCCAACACAAGGCCGCTTCATCAGCGCAACACATAACCTTAGCTTCTGCCGCTTCACACACGTTACACTGAATCTTCATCCTTTCTTTCACTATTTCAAATTTCAAACTTTGAATGAGTACCTCGAAGAATTTTCCCAGAGGAAAGTTGAAGAATGTTTAAGAGAGAGAGAAAAAGAAAAAGGTTTTTGGGAATAACAGAAAGAGGAAAAGGGTTTAAGAAGAGTGAGAAAGAAGGAAGAAAAAAATGGAGGATATTTTGAGTCCACGTAGTTGCTGTACACGTGGCACAAATTTGGTAGTGTCGTGGCATAGGAGACCGCCTTTGCTGGCTTTTCTTCATTATTCATTTCATTCATTGGAATAAGAATTTAATATTTTTTAAATAATCAAAATATCTTCTTTACAAACAACCATAATATCTCTCAACATTTTTTAACAACTTGTTTTTAATTATTCATGTTAATTTCATTTCAGGGTTGATTTAGTTTCTTAATATAGAGTAATAAGAAAATTGAGAGTTAGATGCTCATTTTCAACATAATACCAACAATACTGATATTATCTATAAAAATAACAATTTTGAGATTTGTTGTTTGAGATAATGGTCAAAGTATTTTTCAAAGTTTCTATTGTAAAAAGGAGAACATATTCTAAACTAGTGCAAGAAATTTTAACATTCATTTTAGAGGATATCTTCTTTACTTTGTGTCATCAAATCATTTAGCTACCTGTAATTATTTCGACTCTAAAATAGAATTTAACAAAAAAAATGGTTAAGATTTCATGTTACAATTAAACATGTACTCCTTCCATTTTTTTAAAAAATAAATTTTATTTTTTAGATTTTATATATATATATATATATATATATATATATATATATATATATATATATATATATATATATATATATATATATATATATATATATATATATATATATATATATATATATATATATATATATATATATATATATATATATATATATATATATATATATATATATCACATACACCAATAATCCCGTAAATTTAAAAGTTAAAAATTTCTTATAAAAAAGAATATAAAGGAATAACAGATAATTTTTTTCTTCTTTCTTTCTAATAATACATGTCCAATGTGTTAAATGTAATTCATAGTGTGTTGAAGTCGAAATAGTAAGGAAGCAGCCGAAGTCTAAGTCAAGTGTCGAAGTTTTCAGTTTGTCGAAACAGTTTGTTTTGATGAGATTTGATATGATTTAGATTAGATTTGATTTTGAATATTTTGGGCCTTTTATGTTTTGGGATTTTGTAAACCTAAAACTATAAATAGGTGACTTGCTTTATAATCAAATAGAACAGATTTCACAATTGCAGAGTTTAACAAGTGAAAGTTCAATAGTAATCAGAAATCTCAGAGTTTGTGGGTAACACAATTTTCTCAAATATTTCTTCTCACATTCTTCTCTTTCTTGTTGTTTGTTTGTTATTCTTCTTCTCTTTTGTTGTTCTTGATAACTCTTTACTTGTTATCACCATTACTATCATATTGTGGGTTTGTTCATCATTCTTGAGATCAGATTGAAGGGAATTCTTCATAGGGTGTGAGGTGAATTTCCAACATCTAGTATCTAGAGCTCCTGTTGAGAGATTCAAGGAAGGAAGATAGTGATGGCGATGAACTATCTGAACGACAACTTTCTGACAACCATATCAATTCTCAAGAAAGACAATTATGAGAATTGGTGCAAGCAGATTAAGGTGACTTTCTGTTATCAAGATCTTTGGGATCTTGTGAAGGACGGAGTAAAATCGCTTGGGGAGAACGCAGCGGAGGCGGAAAAGGCTGCACACAAAGAATTGAAGAAGAAGGATTATAAAGCACTCTTTATAATTCATCAGTGTGTTGATCCTGATAACTTTGAAAAGGTTAGTGATGTTGATTCAACAAGAGAAGCATGAGAGATTCTTGAAAATTCGTTTGGAGGCGCAGAGAAGGTGAAATAGGTGAGGTTACAAACTCACAAGAGAACCTATGAGTTGCTTCAGGTGGAAGACAACGAAAGCATTACAGATTTCTTCACCAGAGTTACAAAGTTGGTGAATCAAATCAAAGTATGTGGAGAAGCGCTGACGATGAAAGCAGCTGTCTCAAAGATTTTGAGATCGTTGGCTCCAAAATTCGACCACGTGGTAGTTGCCATAGATGAGTCAAAAGATCTGTCAGTGTTGACGAAGGAAGAGCTTCAAGAGACTCTTGAGTCTCATGAACAGAGGATGGCTGAGAGAGCTGCAGGAAAGTCGAAAGATATTGTTGCACCCCAAAATTTGCCTAACCTTATCTCGCTTGGTTTATGTTCCATTGCATTAGCATAACATAGTTCTAGAATTTGCATATCATTACATTAGCATTTAGCAGGGGATCAAGTGTGATACATGTCAAGAGAAGCCTAACCAGAGATATTATTCAAGCTTAAGAAGTTATCAGGATCATCAGGCAGAGGGTTGAGTTCTTGGGAAGTTTGAATGCTTGTATGGGGCTCATCTCATCACTTGGAGCCAGTTGAAGGTCAGCAATGGATTGCAAGGCCTTGATCAAGGAGAGAATGTGTGGGTAGAGATCATTGAAGTACCTTGAAGGTCATGTTGGAACTCAATCGACTTATTTTATCAAGTGCAAGAGCCACAGTGGGAGTGGATGTCACTAGGGTTTCATCTGGTTAATCCTAGGCCAAAATGAGCAATTGAAGAAGATCAAAGCCTACTTCTAGGTCATTGAAATCATGAAATGATATGTTGAGGCATATGAGAGATTGTTTCAAGATCAAGTTGAGAAGAATCAAGAGTGGTTGGAGTTGCTAAGTCAGGGTTCCTAGGGTAAAATCCCCTATTTAGTGCCAAACTTCTAAGCCATGTAAGTCAAGATAAAAGTCTCATATGACTTTGGCCTCCATATGAATATTGTAGAGGATGCTATTAGCTTTAATTTGAGTACTAGAAGTCCTACATTGGATTTATAGAACTCAAGTTATGGTCCAGACAAGTTACAGGTCCTCAGATGCATCTGAAATTTGTCTGTGAAAATCATCTGACTTCCAAGCTATTTTTGACCTAGAAGGAGGTTTCACCTGAACTTTTGGCCAACATGAAAGTTGTTCCTAATGATCTTAGCTTTCCAAATTGTATTATAAGTCTTCCATCTGATTTGTAGAACTCAAGTTATGAGGTTTACAAGTTAGGGGTATTTTGGGAAAGTGAGATTATAGGCCGTTTTCAATCATAAGTCAAAATCTCCAACTTGCACTTGTCAAATGGATTTTTGTTCAACATGGAACTTGTTCAAAATGTGGTTTTTAGTATAACCAAGAACTCATGGTGAATTGATTTCGCTCATATCAAAGATTGGTGTGAAGTGGTTTGAATAAAGAAGAAATTCAAAGGCAATTTTGGTGGGAAATTGAAATAAATTGTTATGGGTCCAAAACAAGTCAAATAACCACTCATTTTAATCAGAAAATATATTTTAGAAACATTGGCAATTGTGGAATTTTCATTTGAAGTGTGCTTCATGGCCTTTCACAAGATTTCTTCACATAAAAGTTACATTACACAATTCCTTCACAAAGGCAATGTGGAGATTCCTCTTGGGCTGAATTCATTCCAAATGAAATATGTAAATCATCTAAAGCTTACAATGCAAGCTATGAAGCCAATTTCATGCATTACCATAATGAAATTTTTGAAGAAAAGTTGGACTTGGATTTTCAATTTTGGGCTTGGGCCTGAGCTCTAGAAGGTTCTAAACAATCCTATAAAGGTATAGGAGCTCATCAGAAACAAGGTTGGTGATTGATTGGGGTTGAAAGCACATATCACCATTGAAGCTTGAAGAAGAAAAGTGAAAGAGTGAATTTCTGTTAGAGGCCGTTTCAAGCACAATTGAGGATTCAATCTTCTTCTAACATCATCACTCATTGGATCTGGAACGTTTTGGATCAAGAATCAAGCTAGAAACGACTCCGATTGAAGCTTGAACTCAGGTTCTTACTTCTTGAATTTTCTCTTAATTTATGTGTTTTCAATGCATTAGAATCATGTGGTTAGATTCACCTTAAGTTGTAGATGATTTCTGGGCAAATAATTTGATGTTTAGTGAGATTTTAGGATTGAAGTCGTTTTAGGTTGAGATATGGAATTTCTGATTCGTGGATTTTTAGGTTGTTTAAGTAGTATATTTGGATTCCTCTCGAAATTTCATGCAAAATCGGTTCAAAAATCATCGCGTTTGGTGGATTATTGAGTGAGTTATGGTCACTTAAAGTTTGCCGGAAAATGTTCACTTCCCGTCGGCCATGGAGTCCTGCGCGCGAAGCTTTCGAGTTGCAGAAATTCAAAAGGTTGAAGATGTAATCTCCTCCGTCCGTGCGTGTGAGAAGTTGGACTTATTCCACACATCCAGGCGCCGTTAGCACGCCACGTCACAACATCCAAAACGCAGCGTTTTGGTTAGTGGCCTTGCAGCGCCTATGTGATCATGAAGGGAGCGGGTTCGATTCCCCTTGTGTACATTTTTTCTTTTAATTCTGAAGAAATTGACATGTATATTTGCTTGGGCTTTGGCTATCTCGCTACACTATCTGCACCCCTCTCTTCCAGCCCAACTTGATTTTACACATGATTTTCTTGCTAGTTACCCCCTCCTGGACATTATAATGAGTTTTTTTTGCTGAATATTTTTCCATCAAGTGGGCCTTGCGCCAGAATGCTATCACCACCCTCTCTTTCCTGGGCCCATGCATGTATTACTTGAATTAGTTACTAGTTACACCCCAGTTTCCATTTGGCTTTAATTTCCTTTCTTTATTTTTTTAGTTTAATACTTGATAGAAAATAAATCATAAAAAATAGTAAAAATTGTTAATAAATCCTGAAAAAAAATTACTAAGTTAGATTTAAATGTTTAGATTTTTATCATGTTTTGCATTTTATTATTTCATGCATTTTACATTTTATTCCATTTTATTCTTTTTAGTGCATTTTGTAATAATGAAATAATGATGTTGATTTTGTTCATTTTCTTTCTCTCTCATTTTT